GGCAGTTGGGGAAACTCAGAAAAGAAGACCCTAAGGAGGGTCTCTGTGGGAGGAGCAAATTAGTCTCTCTCCATGATTTTGTGGCCAGATGTCAAACTCCTTGTTGGCTTCATTAAGGCCTTTGGAGAAATTAATTTGAATACAACAGCCACAGGTTGAGCACAGCAACTGGGGTGGTACCATCTCCATCAGGGGACATTTGCCAATGTCTGCAGACATTTGTGGTTGTCATGACTTGGGGGTGGGGGTGCTCTCCTGGCATCTGGTGGGTGGAGGCCAGGGATGCTGCTCAACACCCTATAGTCCACAGGACGGGTGCCACCCCAGAGAATGATCTGGCACAGTGCTGAGGCTGAGAAACCCTAGTTTTTTTTTTTTTTTTTAACAGAGTCTTGCTGTGTTGCCCAGGCTGGAATGCAGTGGTGCGATCTCGGCTCACTGTAAACCCTGCCTCCCAGGTTCAAGTGATTCTCCTGCCTCAGCCTCCCGAGTAGCTAGGATTACAGGTGCACACCACGCCTGGCTAATTTTTGTATTTTTAGTAGACACAGGGTTTCACCATGTTGGCCAGGGTGGTCTTGAACTGCCAACCTCAAATGACCTGCCCACGTAGGCCTCCCCCAAGTGCTGGGATTACAGGGGGTGAGCGACCGCACCCGGCCAGAGAAACCCTAGTTTAAGGGGGTAATTACCCTCAAAGCACTCAACCTTACTCGCTTCATTTTGTTTGATGGCTGTAGGCTTAGGCTTGAGCATGCACGCTAGAGGTGCAAACTTTGGCACTGATAACGTGTGTGATTTAGAATGCCTTAGAAATGAAAATTGGATGCGTTCAAACTAAATATTAGTGAGGAATGTCTAAATTACAAATGTTTTTGACAGAACTTCTAGAAATGAGGATCTCGTTTTTCCTGTTTTTTTTTTTAATTCCTTACTCCAGACATTTTATTTATTTTTTCTTGTAGAGGTGGGGTCTTGTTATGTTGTCCAAGCTGGTTTCAAACTCTTGGCCTCAAGTGATCCTCCCGCCTTGGCCTCCCAAAGTGCTGGGATTACAGGTGCGTGCTACTGCGTCCTGCTGGCAGTCGTTCAAAGCACATGTTTTAGCTCTGGGCAGGTGGCCTGGAAGGACCCAACCCCAGCCCCTGTGCTCCATGCACCATGCCAAGTGTCCACATGGCCCCACTTACCTGTTTTCCCCAGCCCTCCAGGGAGGCAGAGCAAAGGCAACAGAGGGGTCGCCTGTCACCTCTATATGCGAGTGGCCTTCATACCCAGGGTGGTCAGTGCAGCGGCCACGGCTTGGAATGACGTCCATGACTTTGGCCCACCCCTAGCCCTGCCGACCCGGCTAAATCTGCAAATCTGGCAGGAGTGGCCCCTGTGGGCCGTGGCATTCGCTGAATGGCCAGTCCTCTCTGTCTGTGCCCTGGACGCAGCACTGAGCGCCTGGGGAAGATGGCTCCCCTCGGTGCCTTGCTGGCCTCGGGATCAAAGGCCCTTTCTGCACTTACTTCTTGCTTTCATATAAAGCAATGATGTCCTCAAAAGCGTTAATATCGAACTCCTCAGAGCCGTCAAATGAGAAATCTAGCATTGAACAGCTGAAAGGGAGAATCTGTATAAACTTAACATGCTCCTGGGGTGGGACCCGCAGCCCTGTGGCCAGGCCCTGGGGAGATGGATGCTGCTTCTGCTACCGCAGGTCAGAAGTTACTTTGTCTTTGAGGTAAGGGAGGCAAGGAAAAAAACAAACGAGGACTGGGTGTGGTGGCTCATGCCTATAATCCCATCACTTTGGGAGGCTGAGGTGGGAGGATGCCTTGAGGCCAGGAGTTCGAGACTAGCCTGAGCAACATAATCAGACTCCATCTTTATAAAAGGAAAAATTAGCCAGGCGTGGTGGCCTGTGCCTGTTGTCCCAGCTACTTGGGAGGCTGAGGCGGGGGGATTGCTTGAGTCCAGGAGGTCGAGGCTGCAGTGAGCTGTGATTATACCACTGCACGCCAGCCTGGTCTCAAGCAAAACAAAACAAAACAAAACAAAATAAAACAAAAATGCAACCCATACAACAAAATAGAAGGAAGCTTTCTAGCTCTTGGGAACTTGGGGGACCCCCCCCAAAAAAAACAAACATAATAGAGGAATGCATTCTCCTTTCTTGCGTCCCATTTTGGGTGAAAAAGGTGATTCCTAAAACTTTTATATATTTATTTTTTTTGAGACAGAGTCTTGCTCTGTCACCCAGGCTGGAGTGCAGTGGTACGATCTCGGCTCACTGCAACCTCCATCTCCCGCATTCAAGCAATTCTCCTGCCTCAGCCTCCTGTGTAGCCGGGACTACAGGTGCCCGCCACCATGCCCGGCTAATTTTTGTATTTTTAGTAGAGACGAGGTTTCACCATGTTGGCTAGGCTGGTCTTGAACGCCTGACCTCAAGTGATCTGCTCGCCTTGGCCTCCCAAAGTGCTGGAATTACAGGCGTGCACCATCATGTCCAGCCAGCCTGTTCACTTTTCTACCCTGGTCTGTCACATGCTTGGGTGCATGCAGGGCCCTTGGGGTCATTGCTAGGGTCCACAAAAGACCCCGCATCATCTCATGTGCAACATCAAAGTGTATGTGTTTCTGACTGTGAATGAAGTAACTTGGCAGAACAACTTTTGGGCCACCCCAGGCAGGACAAGGGAAGAACTCTCCAATCAATCAAGCCCGTCTCTCCGCACCACCAGCGATACTTAGGCTTCACCTCCCAGTGCCCACCCTAGGCCATAAAATGGATCCTTTGTAAACTGAGTCTCTTCCCATCTCCCTAAAGCACATGATGTACCAAGGCGTGCTATTCTGTGTCCAGAAAAGCAGCCACCAAATGCTACTTGGTTCTGGGTCTTTCTGGTTCAAAAGGCAGCTCAGTGACTTACTCAGAGCAACCCTGACCTGGGTTTAGAATGCAGCATTCCCCGGTGGCTCACGCCTGTAATCCCAGCACTTTGGGAGGCCGAGGCAGGTGGATCACCTGAAGTCAGGAGTTCAAGACCAGCCTGACCAACATGGAGAAACCCCGTCTCTACTAAAAATACAAAATTAGGCCGGGCGCGGTAGCTCACGCCTGTAATCACAGCACTTTGGGAGGCTGAGGTGGGTGGATCACGAGGTCAGGAGATCGAGACCATCCTGGCCAACAGGGTGAAACTTCGTCTCTACCAAAAAAAAAATACAAAAAA